GTTTATTTCTACTGGTATGGTTTCCTGTGAAAGTTAATTTCCTGATCTTAGAACAAGTCTCAACAAGAATCCTGCTGAGTGTCATCCGTAGTCGAGAGCATCTTCTGGCTTCGATGTTCCATTCAGACCTGAAAGCGATTTCTGTAGTGAAAGAGAAGGATAGAATAGCAAACATTAAGGATGGTGTTCGCTGGAATTATTTTCGTTTCACTTCGCTAACGTTTGCTATTTTATCGTTTTTCCCATCCTTTGTGCTTTCATTTTCTCTTGCTCTTTATGTTACACGACGATACTGTTTATCGCATCAATCGTCACCAGAAAATGAGCTTCCAGAAAATGTGTTACTTCGAGCAGCATCATTGGAAAAATAAATAAACGTTAGTCGCTGCCTGCTGGATGACTTTTTGCGAGTTTTTTCTGGTATCTTGGTCGCATCTTTGGCATATTTTAAAGTTTACTAGGCATATTTTTAGTTTAAGAAATTTGAACAGTCAAATTTTAAATGGTTTTTTTAGAAAGCTATGGATGAGACAAAAAGACGGCATAAGAAGATGTATAAGGGTATATATTTCCTGAAACTGCTGCTCAAGAATTCGCCAGTTAAAATACTTCTATGATCTAAATACATCTGTTTCAATTTTAACAACTGTTTGGTCCAGATTTTTATACTGAATTCTTAGCATATTCATCTGTAATCTTGCTAAGCACGCCTATTTTCTTGCACAAGACATAAATAAATTTCCACTTACCAGTTTTTAAGAGCTACCGTCTTCGTTCTTTGTTAATTAAAATTATCCGTGAGTTTGACCACTGGTTTTTTATACCATTACCGTTGATTGCCGCAACTCTGCATCTTATCAACAGTTTACCATATGGGAACAAGTAATTTTCGTTATATCTGTTGAATGTAGAGTTGATTTTGAGATTAAGCAATATTTGTTTCTAAATGGAGTGTACTTTCAGATGTTTATTGTTTTTTTCTTTGAAAGAACTCTTGTACGGTTCTTTTGTAAATAAACCGAAGTCGAAAACTACAAACCATTTGGCAAGTGTAAAAATGTTAACAAACAAGGTTAAAGATTTGAGAGCTGCTGTAAAGTTTGATTTATATCTTCTTGTACTCATTGTTCTCGTCTCTCAGAGAGTTAATATTATTGACATGTCAGATTATCTGATCGTTAATACTGTATATATTTATCATGTAAAGAAATTTAAACTACTGTTGACCTCTTTGGATGCTTTGTCCTGTAGTGCACATTGAGCGTGATAAAGTCTTCGTTGTTCTGGAGTTTCTGTTGCATCGTTCCAAAAAAATGGTTCTGTCCACTTTAAGCTTAAATGGTGCACTATGGACTGTTGACCTTGGAATCTGAAATGGGAAAATAAAACGTTCGCGTACAACGAAAATTGAAATTTTGTACCGGAGGCATTAGTTTTAGATGTATTTTTGAATGGGCCATAAAATTGTTGTAGCTGGACCAACCGGCATGGTTTGGTCATGGTTCTTCAAACTCAAGAAAGAAACGTTTTTTCTGTAAATTACGATTAAATTCACCGGGCTTTTTGCTCAGTTATGTGTAGTCGAACTCGTCGTATGGGGTCCGGTTCACGGATTACTTCAATACTGTAAAGTTCCTTTTTTTGTATTCCCTACAATAAGATTCAATAAATTAAATAAATATATGAACATACCACATTTCAAATTTGTTCCGCTTTTTGATGTTTTTGAAAGTTTTTTTGCCGTAATTTTAGTTATCAAATTTAATACTGCATTCGCGGTTCACTTTACTTATATCTATTACGTTAAATTTAGAGATCATCGCCATGATGCTGGTAGAAAAAAAAGGTTACTGGAATTGAGTCTAACAATGTAAACTTAATTTTTCAAAACCATGTAATGAACAAGTGGTCTTTTCAAAATGAAATGTAAAACAAATGGTTTATTTATTTATCTAGGAGAACAAATGGAAAATTAAAGCTTTATTTATCGTGAAACAAAGGGTTGTAAATTGATAATAATCACTGATGACCTACGTCGGTAACAATTATGCTGCTATGCGCTGCCGAAAAGTAGCTGCAAGTTGCAGCGCAAACGAGTATCAGAAGTTGGTAATACATGCATAAAAAACGACTGAGCTATTCGCTACAGGTGGAGATTTGTTAAGAAAAAGAAAAATTTTTTCTATTAAATTTTATTAACCTAGAAACCACGTTTACGATATTATTAATTTGAAAAAACGGACTACTTGGTCTGCCGACAGAATTTCGGTTGTTACGCCTTGATTGGTTTATATCAAATCTTCTTATACGGCGGCTTCATGCAGCCGTTGTTCATACAGCAAATTTGATGATGACCCGTCAAAGCCAGTGCCGTTGTCATTGTTGTTGCTGTCGTCGATGGCGATTATTACTAAAAAAATTTTGCAAAAAAAAATTTTTTTTACTTTTAGATAACTCTTCGGAAGGTAAACCCAAACGTTTCATTTTCCCAAAATTCGTTTCTCATTTTAACTGCGCTAAAGAACACCCATCGTCAGTAACAGTGGAAACATTGGAAAATAATGTACACTGATTATAGTTAGTAATTCAAATATACCTTTCTTTCTATTAGTGTTTTCTGCTTCAAGAGGATTTTCCCATTTTCTCTATAGTACCCTTTCACAAAAAACTTCATAACTAATACTGAAAACTAGGTTTACGGTGGATACTTCTAACTAGTCATTTTTTTTTAGAACACTTCATTGTTCCTTCATTACAGAAATGCGGGATACAGTTACTACATTCTACTACACATTATCTGCGCAACACAGATTATCAGAGGTTGTTAAAAAACAACACCAGTAGTAGCTCCAATCAAGACGTTACAGATGACTTTCTTAAGATCACAGTGATACGGCAGCTGCTTAAGAACAATTAATAATTTCAGAAAAATTTTAAATCAA